AGCGCCGCACTGTCGGAGGGTCAGTGCTGAGGGAGCGCCGCACTGTCACAGTTTTTTTATTCATTCAGTGGATGTGGGTATCATGGCTAGGGCAATATTTGTTCTCTGTCCCTAATTTTAGGAGTCATAGAGATGTGCAACATGGAAACAGACCCTTCAGTCCAACTTGTCTATGCTGAACATATATCCTAAATTAATCCAGTCCCATTTGCCTGCATTTGCCCCATATCCCTCTAAATCATTCCTATTCATAAAGCCATCCAGATGCCTTTTAAATGTTGTAATTGTACCAGCCTCCACCACCTCCTCTGGCAGCTCATTCCATACACATACAAAACTCTGCATGAAAAAATGCTTCTTAGGTCCCTTTTAAATCTTTCCCCTCTCACCTTAAACCTATGCCCTCTAGTTTTGGACTTCCCTATGTTGGGGAAACGACCTTGATTATTCACTATATCCATGCCCCTCACGATTTTACAAACTTCTATAAGGTCACCCCTTAGCATCTGACGGTCCAGAAAAAATAACCCCAGCCTATTCAGCCTCTCCTTATTGCTGAAAGCCTCCAGCCCTGACTACATCCTTGTAAATCTTTACTGAATCCTGTCAAGTTTCACAATATCTTACTTACAGCTGGGAAACCAGAACTGCACGCAGTACTCCAAAAATGGCCTAACCAATGTTGTGAAAGGCCACAACATGTCCTCCAAACTCCAATACTCAATGGTCTGACCAATAAAAGCAAGCCAACCAAACACCTTCTTCACTATGCTATCTATATGCAACTCCACTTTCAAGGAACTATGAACCTGCACTCCAAAGTCTTCTTGTTCAGCAACATTCCCCACGACCTTACCATTAAGTATATAAGTACTGCCCTGATTTGCCTTTCCAAAATGCAGCATCTCATACTTACCTGTGATTTGATCCCAGGCCCCCAGAACATTATCTGTGTTTCAGGATTAATAGTTTAATGATGATACCAACAGGACATTCCCTCCCTGAGAGAGCTGCACTTTGTTGGAGGTGCTGCCTTTAGGATGAGAACTGAAACTGAAGCTATTTCTGTTTCCTTTTGTTGATGTGACAATCCTGCAGTAACTTGTTGAAGAAATCAGGGAGAGTGTTCCTGATGCCCTCAACAGTATTTATCAGTCAAACAACACCATTCAAACAGTTTATCAGAATCGTTATCATGTGGTTGCTTTTGCAATCATTCTTCATTGGCTGTAAAATGCTTTGGGATGCCCGATAATATGACAGGAATAAACAGCTGTTTGCTTTGACAGAGCTAGAGCGTTGCTAAACAAAGAGATAAACTATCTGTCATTTTCATGCTGAACTCATCAGGACACATTGCAAGAATAACAAATTTCAAAGGGAGCAACTATTGATTCTGCACAAGAAAAGGTATATTGATTGGTTGTCTTATTGATGTCTTATTTGCATTTAACTTGGAAATGCAATTGACCATTTACATATACAAAATAAGTACTGGGGACTAACCAAATAAATATGAAATAAATGTTTTATTCTAAGCCACTCAACTCAGAAAAAGCAGGGATCGGGGTGGTTGCTGCCTCTTGCTGGTTCTATCAAGTGATGAAGGTGGCCACTAACCAGAACAGTTCACCCAGTGATTGAGATAATGCTCACGCATCAGTTTCAAAAATCCACCTCTACGCAGTCACCGAGCGAGCATGTTTAACCAGCCTTCAGAAAAATTAGGCTCGTCATTGGTATGATCCCCAGGAGGAAAAAGGTTAATCACTTTTGCTGGTATCTTTTCACTTAAAAGCGAACGTCTAATCTTCCTCTAATCAGATTATCTCAGATGTTGAAGTGTTTGCTTCTTTTAAATATTCTTTAACGACTTTTTAAACTAAAATTTCCTGTTTAACAGCAGTGACTACATCTCAAAAGAAAGCTTCATTAATTGTAGAACACCTTGGGCTATCTGGAGATTGTGAAAAGTCTTTCTCTCCTGTTGGATAACCTCATTTTCTCTCCTGGTTCATTGATTGCTGGGTCTCCTGTACTCGAAGATTATTGTGTGTTCATTCCAGAGCAGGATGTAAAATTGATGAATAAGTAGTTAACTCTTCAGGTAGATTATACCAGAAGTTTGTGGAGAAACTTTGTATCCTTTCTGTCTAATATTTTCGAATTACAAATTTTTCATGAAACAATTGTCACAATGTATTAGAGAGAAAGTGCTATGAGGGAAGCAAAATTGTTCAATGTACATCAGGGAGTTTCTCCATGGAGCGCGTGAGACAGAAACTGTCACAGAGTCCAATGCACAGAACAAAGGTAACTATAAGAACTTCTAATCAACCTGTTCAGAGCTGTCATTACACACCCCTGGAGCAGTAGGACCTGATACTTGCTCTGTGAAGTGAGTGGCAGAGTGACTGCAGAAATGACAGTCTCATTACTCCATTCAGACAATGGGAATGTTCTCATTCTAACGTTCAAAAGCATGTGAGTTCAAATCCCACTGCTGCTATTTGAGAATTAGAAATTCAGAATTGAAAGGTTGGTTTTGGTAAAGAGTGAAACAGTTGGATTGTAAAACCCTGAAGTAAAAGCAAGAAACACTGGAGAAAGTCAGCAGCATTTGTGGAGATTGAAGCAGAATTAATGCTTCAAATCTGATATGGCTCTTTTTCCAAAGGTTCTGAGAAAGACTCATCCCAGACTCGAAATGTTAATTCTGTTTCTCTCTCTCTCTACAGATGCTGCTGACTTTCTCCAGCATTTTCTGATTTTTATTTCAGATTCCGGCATCTGCAGGATTTTGTTTTTATTGAATTCGCTTCCAAACATCCTCTCTGTCCATACCCTGTCTTTGACTCTGATGTCCTTTTCCAAAATTTCAATCCACACTGGTCCAGAAAGCCAGTTCTATTTTCACAGAAATCACTGTTTTGAACCCTTCTGTTGTTATCATTCAGTCTGTCTCACATTGCGATAGGGCCATTAGCTGTTACACGTTCATATAAATAAAGCGAAAAAAGCCAATCTGACATATCACATGTGTTGCAATCATGACCAGCACTGAGTTGCAAAGAGGCCATCAACTACGTTATGGTGTAAAGTACATTTTATCTTT